TCATTGTTAAGTATTCTAGTGTGTCATCTGCAAAACATTGGCAGCTAACAGAATGTTTGGGAATAATTCTAAGGGAAGCATGTAAAGAGTAAAAAGTACTGGTTGAAGTAGGCACCCCTGCGGAACCCCATTATAGTTTTATGGAAAGAGTTTTTGTTGTCAGTATTTACAAACTGAAAGCAATATAATGAGTATGATTTCAACCAATTCAGGGCAGTTCCTTTCAAACCAATGACATTCTCTGAAGTATGTGAAAGTATGTGGTGGCCAACTGTTTCAAATTTGGTGCAAAGGTGGAAAAATTGAGATGAGGCATTTGTCAGAAGTAGCAAGATTATTAGTAACTTTCACAAACACTGAGTCAGTAGTGCTTTGTCCCGTGATGCGTTCTAAATCCAGACTGAACGTCTTCCAACAAATTGATGTTTATCAGAAAGTCATACAGTTTTTTCAACAATCTTGGACAGAAACGGAAGATTGGATTTTGGTCTACAGTCAGTTAAGATATCCGGATCAAAAAGATCTCTGGAGATGTTTGAGGAGTTAAACACTCATTGTTCATTTTCTTAAGCTCTTTGATTGGAATATCTATGGTATTTGATCATGATAGAGCCCTCAGGCACGAATGCATTTTTTCCACAGGAGTTGATGTTAATGTGAAACTGGGAGGATACATCATGGGGTATAAAGTACTCTAGAGGCAGAGAAAATGACTGGGACAGAGTCTTAACTGTATTTGGATCTGCAACAGCCAAGGAAAAAATGGACGACAGTATGATGTTTGTCTTAGATCACTCCAACGATAAGGAGACAGTCGCAGATTAAACCACAATCATCATGCCATCCTGATTGTCACATCTGAGCAGAGTTTAAAAGAATACAAGGTTGACTACATTCATCTGGCATAACAACAATGGCATTCTGTGAAATGAAAGGAATGTGAAACTGAAGCCAAATGCGCTAAAATCAGAGTTGTTTTGTTCCATCATAAAGCCAATCCCGACGGGATGGGATGGTTTCACCACTGCTGTAATGTTATGGAGAAATATTTTTGTGAGTGTAGGTAACACTTTCGCATACTCACTTGTGGAATGTGTGACCAAAAACCATGAAATGAATCCAGTTAGTTTAGTGTTTGTTGATTTATGTTCATGGGTGTTCATGTTTTGGATGAAAGATATGTAAAATTGAATCGGATCTACCAGATTACTAGGCTTTTCAAGTTTAATGTTCTATTTTTATGGGTGTGGAGGGCGGGGGGGGGGGGGGAGGGGCTAACGGGAGAATTAATTTGTTTTAAGAGTGGAGACCAATTCCAAGGCCAAACTTCAAGCAAAGATGACAAATGAAATGAATGAACATTTTCTGTATCTGCACCTGAAAGTGTACCAAAATGTTTCATGGGTTATTCATTAGTTGGTTAACTAGATTTTTCCTTTCTTGGTGTCTTTTTGCTCCAAACGTTTTGACAAAGTGTGTCATTTCAAACCAGGGCCTTAGTTTCTAAAGCAAAAAGATCCTGCACAGTGCTGCAACTTCCTCAGACAATTATCCTGCCCCTCTGTTATGCAAGCCACACAAATTTTGCACGGAAGTTAGTTTAGTCACTTCATATCATTGTGGGTTGTCAGCATTGTCCAATCTGACAGGAGTGGAAAAGAAAAGAAGAAAATGTATTTGCTACATTTTAACTCTTTTCCCCAAGTGCTATCATCTTTTAATTTGGCATTTAACCTTTCAAGCAGACCATTCTTTGCACTGAATCTTTGAAGACACAGCTGCGTCTCTCAATACCCTCATAGGAAGTCACTTTATATATCCGCATTATGTCCTTGTAAACTTGAACAGATTATTTTCAGGCAGTTGCATTCACACAATATTATTTGGTCCTAAATTTGTAGGCATCCTATATTTCACCTCATTTCTCACAAGTTTGTGGTATGCATAAATTCTTCAACAAAAGAAATGTTAAGCATCTGAGAAATTGTTTTTATGGTGGCGAATATGAGAAGGAGACAAATTAATTGTCTGAGTTTGTTTTAATGTCTGGCAAAGCATTAAGATCAAGTACAATAAGGGGCGATTTGCGTTTTCACACATAAACAGAATGGATGAAGCCATCCCCAGAGGTGGGCAATTTACAAAATTTCAATCGGTCTGACGTTCGTCATCCGTCAGTGGCCAGGGCACCCGTCCGTCATCATCAGTCTGTCATTTTTTTCAAGCCGATCCAAACTGTTATCAGTTGGTAATTCTTCTTTGGCGTATACACCACTTACTGAACAGGAAGTGCAAAATGTTTCTTTCCATATATAGTCAATGGAGGCAACCCTGCTTGTATTCACAGTGACGGAGAAAACCACCCACCTCCGTCAGTCATTTTCAAGTTTCCTGTCATTCGTTAATCACCAGGAAACCGGGCATCCGTCAGTGACAGTCTGGCAGACTGTCATGTTCCGTATTTGGCAGCAGGTGGCAGGCGTTCATTCTGCTGTCTGCACACCTGCTGCCTGTTTGTTAATGATTACACCTGCTATTTCTAAGCACTCCGGCTTCCGATTCATTGCCGGAGTATTGCTTGCCGTGCCACTGCTATTGCCCATGCTCGTAACCTTATTCGTACTCTATTGTTGTTCGCTACACTTTCGTCATCCCAGTGGGATTATCTATAATGCATAGTTTATCGAGTAAATTGTCTTATCTTTTCCTTGCCGTTTTTCGCAAGCGCTTTCTTTTTTCACGTTACATTATTTCCTGGTTCTCGTTTTGACCAGCGTTTTCTGTTTTCCTTTAGACGGTGTCTTTCGTTTGTAATAAATATTATTTGTTAAGACGAAAACCTTGTCAGTGTCTGCTACTTCGGGGATCCACCTACTCTCGTTCGCTCTGTTGCGTACGAAGCAGTTCTTTATTCCTGCCTTGTACGCAACGTGACACAGACCTTCCGTCAGTACTGACGGAACGCCCACTTCTGGCGGTTCCTTTGAAACACATATTTGGGAAGAAATATTAATCACTGTATGTCTGAATTTTCTCACACCTGCCACAAGTAGTGGCAATCTCTGTTCTAGGAACAACAGAGGACTTAAAAGGTCTCCGTCTTTGCACATTCAAGTACACCTTAACTCAAAACTCAAAGTTGCATCTCATTTGAGTGTTAACATTCTCTTTGTTAGCGTTAAATGTACCGAACCCAAATCTCGACCCATGTGACACCCAACTTCAATCCATGAGCACTTCACACCAGAGTCACAATGCCTGCTTATTGAAGGAGAAATAATAGAAGTGAGTTTTGTGTGTGTGTGTGTGTGTGTGTGTGTGTGTGTGTGTGTGTGTGTGTGTGTGTGTGTGTGTGGGTGTGTGTGTGTTGGGTGCGTGCGTGCGTGCGTGTATATGTGTGCGTGCGTGTGTGTGTGTATGTGTTCAAAGACACACATGGCAACAGACAGGTATACAATACAGTATCTGCATACGGTGCTTTTTAGATGCTCAATGGTGGCTTCACACAGTAATGGTGACAAAGCATTATATAGGCAAAAAAGTGTGTGTGTGTGTGTGTGTGTGTGTGTGTGTGTGTGTGTGTGTGTGTGTGTGTGTGTACAAACAAGTTAACTTTGAATATCTCTTCTGGGTTCCATCAAATATCGATCCATCGGTCCATTTTCTGATCCGCTTATCCTCACAATTGGGCCAGGGGGGTGCTGGAGCCTATCCCAGCTGTCTTCGGGCAGTAGGCGGGGGACACACCCTGAACCGGTTGCCAGCTAATCGCAGGGCACACATTGACATACAACCATTTGCGCCCACACTCACACCGAGGGACGATTTTGAGTGTTCCCTTAGCCTGCCATGCATGTTTTTGTAATGTGGGAAGAAACCGGAGTATCCGGAAAAAAACCCACACAGGCACGGGGAGAACATGCAAACACCACACAGGAAGGCCGGAGCCAGAATCGAACCCTGCACCTCTGCACTGTGAGGCCGACACGCTCGATCACTGGGTTGATCATTTCGAAAATAAACTGATCTTAATTATTTTTTTTGTAACTCATTGCCACCTTGAAAAATATGACATCATTCTGTTTGGTGTGGCAGCGAACATGATTTACATTTCAACTTTGTACTTGGCTGCATTTTTTTCTTTGAACAGTATTTGTCAGAATTTTTTTTTTAAATAAATGTTTTTCCATAAGAGTAAAAGATCGTGTTGAAAGTTAAATAAACAAATGCTTAACATAATTTTAAACAAACAATATATTTGTTCCATCATGTGGAGTCTCCCCCTGCTGGCTACTATTAAAAATAGTTGTTAAAGAGCACTGGCCAATAGACTTGTACTGTAGATTACCCCAAAAACCATAAAAAAGTTTCCAGAAATTTTAATGTTTTCATGTCGGCATACACCACAAGGCTCAGATTGTATAAATATGTTTTCATAGCATCATTCTTATTATCACGGTCCAAAGATTGTACACTAGTTTTTGCTCTTTGTATATGTTAAATGCCATCCTCTGTCACAGTGGCTATAATGGTCTGGCTGCCTCATATATGGATGACTTGACTCACCAAGCAACAACCGTATGCGCCCACACATGCACACGCACACACGCACACTCATATATAAGGATAACTCCTACTAAGTGACAGTGTTAAACCACATTGAGTGTCTTCAGATGTTTATTTTTCGGTCAGTTTAGTGTGTCTGTCTGCAAGATGGTTGAAGTTGTGTAATTTTCTCTTTTCACACCAGTGTTTTGCTTTCCTTCTCCCACTAAATTGAAGTGAGACGTGTCACCCATAATTGTGTAAATGGTGAGAGACAAACATGAATCACATATGCAAAGAAGAAAATGCGTGACTCGTTTACGAAGGATCTTTTGGTATTTCATCTCGGTGACACGCGAATTTAAGCATTAGCTTTTTCGGAGCTGACTATATAATTGTAAGTGAACTCTTTATTGATCCTTGTAAATTTGAATATGTTTTTCTTTTTCCCCTAGAGTGACCAAGTTCTCGTTTGGTGTGAGAACCACAGACGCTGTGCACAGGTAAGTCCACACAATGCCGTTAAACCACACCATCGAATTAATGTCAATTCACGTCATTCCAGTCACACATCATGTTGCTGGGTTTCCATCTGCTGAACTTCCAAGGTTGCTCTGTTATTTGGTGTCTGAGAAACTCCTGAGTTGTTTCAGCTTGACGGAGATGTGTGAATAATGCATACTTTCATCATGATGTGAGAATACTTTAATAGATGAAATAATGCTTTTTTTGGTGTTTGCAAACTCAAGCCACCTTTATCATAGTTTAACCGGTGGACCATCCTTTGAAGTTTTCCAACTGATGTCGTGTCTGTGCTGGCTGTTCAGCTTCATATGGTTTTATATCACATTTTCTCAGCTGGAAGACATATTTTATTTTTGACATTTTCCATTCTTTGCTACAAACTGCATCATGCAATGTGATATAATTCTCACAAGGAGTATGAAGGTCAATATGAGCCTCTGCCTGGATGAAGCTCCTCATGCAGGGGATACCATACTTTACAAAACATCACATTGGATGAAATCTCACACACAGTATTTATATTCAGGAGAATACAGCCATCAATCATTCTTTGGGAAGCTTTATGAGCCAAAACCGACAGATCTTATTCACTGGGCCCAATCACACCTCACCGGCAGCATTAGTTACTAAGTTTGGACAAATATTGCACACATCGTTCACTTGATGGTACGCCAATAGACACCACTAAAGTTGGCTATTGAAGCCATTATTTATGTGCATTATCAGCTTGACGACATATTATGAACAGACATACTTTGACTATGGTATGACCTCGCTTTGAACTGCCTTAGAGACGAGACTATTTTGGACGACGTTGCAGACGAACATCAAATAACGCTGTGCATGCATCGTCTTTGGTGACTTGCGGTTTCACACCCAAGTCCTATTCGAACGTGCTAGAGACGAAAGTACTGCCGCAGTTATGTTAGTCGTAAACGAAAGTATTGGAACAGTTTTTGGAGAAATGAAAGCACTGCAACAGTCATAGGGAAAACGAAAGTGAAGTATCGGTTGAAAGCTACGCCCTGCTTAGAAGATATAAGACTTGTCCTGAGAGATTGCTTTTGCGCATTTGTGCTCTGATCACAGTCATTGTCTGTATCACACTCGTGCCCGGAACGTTCTGATAAAATCTTCATGGAACAACATCTCCATTTCCAGCCTCTGATTTCACACATCAATTCAACCTGAATTCAAACGAACACGCGGAGGACGGTCACAGAATCACACACAACACAGCACCAACCCCCTCCTCCCAACACTGGTCATGCCAATTTAGTACAGGAAATGTACAGATTTATTTTATATTTAATTGGAACCACTTAAAATTGTGTTTGTCATCAGGTTTGGGCCATTTTCTTTCCATTTGATGAAAATACGTCGGCAGGAAAACATTGTACAACACAGTGTGATTTTCATAGCTTTCCTCACTCACGTAAAATTAATTTGGCCTTTTGCGTATCATGCCTTAGATTCAATCAAGCTCTTTGCCTGTCTCTAATGTAAACTAATGATTCTACAAGTGTGGTTTGGGGTGGAAAAATCCTCAACTTCATCAAACACTTTTGTGACGAACTAGAACAGAAATCTGTGGCCTGTTGACTTTACATACTACCTGTTCTTTCAGATGAACTTGGAAACATTTCCACAAACTCGAAGGTCTTGCAGACGGTACTCCCAGAAGAGGCTTATATATTACATTACGAAACATTTGTATCAGATGCTATCTACAATATACCACAAATACCAGGCCATTATTTATAACTCGGGAACATAAATACTTTATATTAGAAAGCTTGTAGTCCATTTTAATGAAAAAGGGAACAAGGGTGAGCAACAATAACACAGCTGATATTGGTGAGATGTGTCTTATGAGCTGTTGTGTTTTATCTTTTCTTTGGTTACATCAAATCCCAGACTTTCTATATCAAAGACACATGCCAGACAGATGTTGTACCAACACATATGGTTTGTGTCACATCACCAGCAAATCGATGGAAAATTCACTTGGGAGTTCACTCAGGCTAAACTCTAGCCCTCACTCAAATTCATCTTTTGTACGCCCTTCCCCCTTATAGTCCCCCCTGCTTTTTTCTCTGTCCTTCTCACACGCACACACACTCCCTCACACACACACACACACACGCACGCACGCACACGCTATTGCTATTTTGCATACGTGAATGCAGCCTCCCTCTTCTCCTCGCTGCCTCCCACCTAGTAGTTGCGTGCCGGACTTCTTCGACTACTCATCTTCTCGTCATGACCCTAGCGTCCTACTCAAGTCTGTGCGACCGGAACAAACAAAAGATTCTACTGTATACACACAATACCAAAATAATAATGTGCACCAGGTGTGAGGGAGTGGGATGTGCACCAACAAAGTGGCTGGATCAGACCCGGTCTTGCCCAATGTGGCGCCCTCCCATCCGTGATTTTCATAAGCTTACAAAAGAAATCACATTGCATTGTTGCAAAGTTCATCTTGAAAGACAATAGTAAACATTGACTTTCAAGCTAAAGTGTGGAACTGTTTTTCATTTAAAAAAAAAAGTTTTTTCATTCAAGCGACAACGAAATGAGCCTATTAGCTCCTCTAAACATCTTGCTGTATTTGTCAGTATTTTATCTTTTATATTTTGTATCAACAGGTGACTTTTCCACCCCGGTGCATCCAAAACGATGTTGCAGAAATGGCACATAAGACCTGAGAGTGGGCGATATGCGGCATCTCCTCTCCTGTTTAGCAAAAACCACCTGTTTTTATACATCTCAGGGGCAGGCGGCCATTTTGCCACATCCTGTCACAATTGCTCAGGGCTCGTGTAACAGGGTTGGCGCTGGGTCATGAAATCGTTTAGCTAAGCAGTATAAAAATTAGTAGTCAAGTTCAAGTGTAGTTAGCCACGACATTGTATGTTTATGTGACAGCGATGTTTCACCGCTATCTTGCTACATGCGTCATTCATGTATGCAAACAGCAGAGACATGGTAGTCAAAATGACACAAAACATAACACTATTGGGTTGAAGCCCCACTCCCAAAAATTGTGGCAACTGAGAGGATGAAAAAGACTTTTACGCTTTAGGGGTGTTCACACGGCAAGATTTGCTCCGGTGCTGCGCCAGCGCTGCCCCAGTTGAGCGTTCACACGTGCAAAGTTACACCGGGGTAGCCCCGGAAAACAGCTTACTCCGGAGCAAATATTTAACCCACCTCCCTGAGGTGGGTTAAAAATTTGCTCCGGAGCAAATCCTCGTTTGCGGGGCAGCACCAATGTAAATTTGCACGTCTGAACTCTACAATTTGCTCCGGAGCAAATGCTCGTTTGCATGGGGGAGTAGCCTCGCTACGCATGAGAGGAGTTGATTACATACGGCGAGAATGCGTTGCTTTCGTGCTCTGTTGTACTTCCGTCATGTGTTTGTTTAATAACGACACAAGACATGGCTGGTAACAGTTGCAAGCGGCACCTCTCTGGAAATATACGTACGGCTAGAATGTGTTGCTTTCGTGCTCTGTTGTACTTACGTCATCTTTCCTCTTGTAGGAGACTGGACTGTCTCGGAGTTGTTTGTGTAGTTTGTTCCTTTGTTGTGTGTTCACAACCCCCCGCCCCACATAGAATTTATTTTGTGATTTCCTCTCTTGAGTTTCTCTTTGGCGCATTACATGTTTGCTTTTCTGAGTGTCATTGAAGTCATCGTTAATTTACATTTTCGGGGGCGGTCACTCTCGAGCAGAAGGCACGGAGACCGAGAAGGAGAAGGACGTGCCTGTACAGTAGTTGCTTGAGTTGTGTATGTTTTAAAAATAACCAACACGACAGCTCTTTGTTTTCTATCGTTTTGCACCACTGCAGAAAACTACCATGTGAACCCAAGTGGGGCTGCACCGACGCTGCGCCGGTGCTAACACGATCAGCGGCTTTGTACGCGTGACCACTCCACAAAATTTGCTCCGGTGTAAAATATATTGCAACAAAATACATCGCTGCAGCACCGAAGCAAATGTGTGCCGTGTGAACACCCCTAATGTCTCAACAATTCAGTACGAAATTGATCGGTCTTTAACGATGTTTTCAAACTTCAAGTTTCAAGTCAATTTTATTGTCAAATGTGCTGTACATACAGCACAGATGAAATTTCTTTTCTCTCAACTACAGGAGAGAGAAGAGCCGCTGTGGATGCCCGCGCCACCATCAAAAGAACAGTTAACACAAAATGACAAAATAATACAACACAACATAAAAGACACAGAAAGTCGTGCAAAATTTAACCACTTTTCCTGCATACACTTGGTTGTTTGAAGCAGTTATCGAAGAAAGAGGAGCAAATCAAAGTGTCCTTTCACCAGTGGATCAAAGACGCCATGCTGCTACAAGCTAAGTTTGAAAGCAAACAAGAAGCTGTAGTGTCCATTGATGAAAATGAGATTGGCTTACATCTCCTGTCCCATTCCAAGCGGTGACTCCCAGTTCCACATACGCATCGGCGCTCTGCACTGATGCTCCTTTCTTCTTCTTTTTTGCATAATGAGAATTTTGACAGACAAACTGGCAACTTTCCTATGTGGCGAGTGCGGAAAATACCATGCCATTCCCCATTTCCCCTTGTCATTGTCAAGTTGGCGAGCAGGCAGGACGCACCCTGGGTAACGACCAAACCCGGCCCAAGTCAAGTAAAGTCAAGCTTTATTATCAAATATGCTCTATGTGCAACATACAGCACAGATGAAATTACTTTCCTCTCTCTACCACAGTACAAACATGCAGTGAGTGCATTGAAACACACAGAGCTAAAAATAAGGGCAGCAAACTGAACTGCATAAAAATACATAAAGACATAAATATATAAATATAAACATAAACAAATAAACAATAAATAGCAAACAACAGACTGACCAAGGCCATTTGTGATTATTGCAGGTTAAAGTTTAGGCAGGAAATTGATTAAGTGCAATAATCGGATTTCAGATG